GGCCCCCCGAAGAGGACCCCGGCCCCGCTCTCTCTCTCTCTCTCTCTCTCTCTCTCTCTCTCTCTCTCTCTCTCTCTCTCTCTCTCTTTGAAATTAATCGAAAAACGTGGAAATACCAACAAAACAAAATACACAAAGCTTAATGTATTGTGTTTATATATGTTTTATATATACAATATAACATTTACGAAATTTACGAAGTATATGTACTAAAGTCAGAAGTCGACATTGGGAGAGCCGACGTTGCTAGCCATACGTGGCCTCCATGGTATGCACTTGCAGTACCTGCAGCGTCGGAGCCAGCGAACGCGAAGACCGAGCCGGGCTTGGGCTACTTGGGCTTATTGGGCTTGACTGAGGGCTCACAACCTCCTCCATTTCAGCATCCGTCTTTGTCACGCGTGCAGTCTTGCCAGCCGCTTTCTCTCTCGCCCGGTCTCTCGCCCGGCGTCTGTGGCATTCTCGGAGCTGCCGCTGCTTGGCTCGGTAGGTCTGCCACATTTCGGAGTCCTCGACTCGGAGAACCTTCAGAACCCGCAGGCCCATCGTCTTGGAGCCGAAATCGCTCAGGAATGTCCGGTCCATGAGCCTGAGTGCATCTGAGCGCACTTGAAACTTTTCGAAGCTTTCAAATCTTCTGGGCATGCGATGGTGCAACATCGCTGTGAGTTGCTGGCACACTATAAGAAAGGCTGCTCTCAAAAACCCGATGTACTGATCCGAAGGCCGCGGTGCTCGGCCAGCACAGCTTTCATCTGCGGGTCGGGGTGCGTGTCATGGAATGTGAAACCTTCGGAGTCGTTGGCAGCATGGAACCAGTATGCTGGCAGGCGCCGTGCCTGTTCGCGGGCTTCGCTACCCAAGAAGCCTTCGCCTCCTTCGCCGGCCCAATAACGGCGAACGGGACTTGGGCAGAAAAAGGCATCGCTGGCCTGGCGCTCATAGACTAATGCGTACTCTGGATAGACTTGGTGTCCGTCGAAGACCAGAAACTCTCGGTGCAGCGCCCCGTGCGGCTCTGCCAAGACGGAGTCGAAACCTTTTCGGAATGCCTCTTCGGCACAGTCTTCATCGCGGAACGCAGTGGTGTGGAACTGACGACCCAAGAGCACACGGCACAGAAGCATTGCGTAGCAGGCACGGTAGAGGCCTTCACCCTCCCCGGCGTAGCGGTCTGCCACTGCCGGATCTTCAGAGAAATAACCGCCAAAGCCGAAGCGCTTCCCCGCACGGCTCGCCTTCACCTCGAAACCATTTTCCACGATCTACACAGGGACACAAACAAGCTCAGAACGCCCCCAGCCGTCCAGACCTAGATGGCCCTAGCAAAGCTCAGCAACAACCGTGACACGCAGTCACAATCAGATACGGTCAGCGTTTGTCGGTGTGTGTCTAGGCAGACTGCGGGATAAATTGCGGCTAGAAAAACTTTCCCTTGCCTTCAGCGCAGAATGTGGATCGGTGCCATGGAAAAGGTAAGCCTCACAAACCTCTTCATCCATCGCATGCACAAATCCACCATCCCATCCATCGCTCTCGACATTTGTTAACGCCTGGTTTGTGGAAGGAGGCCCAAGGCCCTTAAACTGCATTTTCCTCGAAGCCATACGGGCAGCCTTGTCCTGGTAATGGAGCCACAAGCGGGAGTGCTCCACACGAACAGCTCTCACAAGGCTGAAGTGAATTTCAGTGTTCGAGCTGGTCTCGTTGAGGAAGCCTTGCAGAATTTCGCGGTTCTGTAGCGACACTGGATATATATCATCAAAGTAATCCGGACTTGACCTGTCCGCTGGGTCCGTTGCGTTTAAGGACTTGCCTGCATTCTGCCAGTAGGGAGGTATTGCATCTTGTGCCTCTTCCAATCGCTTTCCACAAAGACGCCGAAGATGTTGACGCAGCAGAAGAAGGATGAACCCTGATGCCAGCATGCATATGACGAGCCCCACTTCCTCGTCCATGGCAAGATTCGGTGACAGTGCTTTCAGCTGTAGTGGGAGGTGGCGCCATGAATGTGCAATGTCGCCTTGATTGAAGATGCTAACACCAATGGCAGCTGTACGGATGGATCGCTTTCCTTGATACTAGCTGGAACTAGCCGGCCTCTAACCCCGACTGCATCTCCTTGCAGGCCTCTAACCCCGACTGCATCTGCTTGCAACTGGGACTCGAAAGTTTAAGACAAGAGGACCTCATGATGCCGGTGTGATGTTGTGCCCCTTTTTCTCTCCAAGGTCTCTCGTACAAACGCGCAAATGCAACTGCACGGCGGGCGTTCCCTGCAAACATTATCGGAAGTTCCCGCATGATTTGGGAAAGGTACTTTTGATCAGACGGGCTATGTCTGATTATGTCTGGACGGTCTCGGAACAGCATTCAGCGTCATTCAGCGTCGCTCGCCGAATAGGGACAGAAGATGCAGGAACCTCAGCTTGGAGTTCCTAAAAAATCCCCCTGAGGAACACATCCTCTGAAGAAAGTCTTTTCAATTTCAGGATCCTCAGGGCCGAGCAAGTTGATGATGTCCTGCGGCGCACTGCTGTGTTGACCGCTGTGCTGTCTAGCAATGCTTGGCAATCAGATTCGGTCCAAGTACAAGTTCAGGGCGGCGAATACGTACTCGTCGACTGAGATGGCGACCTGAAATTTCAACGAAGCGCCAACGGTGCCAGCAGGCTCCCATCAACTTGAACCGCCATGCCTTGTGACCGCCCCATTCGCCCAGCATCATCTGCGTATCAAAGATGATGGCGAAGGAGAACAAGAGAACCTCAAATGTTCGAAGGTGCCAAAGATGTCACAGCTTCGGTAAGCGGTATCCATTCGAAATCCAAAGCCCCGTGCACCCAAGCAGTCGTAGATGGCCGTCGCCACAGTGATGGATATGCCAAACCTGGCTTCAGATGCCACATAAGCTGCAGCTACATTGCACAAAAGGGAATTATCGTGCGGATACAGCGTGCGTGTGGAACTGTGCCTGAGACATGGCTGATCTATCTCCCTTGCATGCAGGAGGCAGCGGTAGGAGCCCCAAGACGAGGCCAAAGAGAAAGAGCGCGAAGACCCCAGCGAAGAGGTAGGGTCTGGCAGCTGGCAGGCAATACGGACAGTGCGGAATGGGCATGAATGGGCTGCACGATGTGCCCCATCAAGTCTGAGCCCCGAGCCCGTAGCCAGTGAAGTCTGTGGATGCCTCTCCGAGAGTGCAACGTATTGCCTGTGTTGCCTTGCGGTCCCAAGGCTGTCGCGTTGAAGGCGTAGGCTGTCAAGGCCTCAAGGCGATGCACAGACAAGGTCGCACTGCACCTGCCTTCTTGACATGGACAGTCTGGCTTGATTCGGTGGCTCACAGGCTTCAGGCCCTTCAGGCCCCCACCATGAACACCAAGGTCGTACCGCCCGCAGCCTTCAACAGGGATGTGTCAGGCTTCGTTTTGTTGCTGTCTTCTGCAAAACTTGGATGCAGGCCAGCAGCAGGCTTTCGGGAGTGAACATCTCGGAATGGCTAGGCACACAAAAGTTTCACCACTGAAGTTCTTCCCAGCTTCGAAAATGAGAGTCTGGGTTCCCCGACGGCACTGACAACGCCGATGGCCATTGCCTGCTTTTTTGGCTTACAGTGTCCACATCCGGGAGGTCATGATATCTGAGGTTTGAGGCCTCGAAGGCTGTGAAAGCGAACAGAAAGAGATAGTTCGTCGGGTATCTCCTCGCCAACCCATGCATGCATGCATGTCCGCATGTGGACCACATGTTGGCCATGTATGTATGTATGTATGTATGTATATATACATATACTGAAGTGTATGCAGCAAAACATAGATGTACATACACATTTGTGTCTATCCATAGACATGTACAAACGTACAAATGCCCTTATGGACATATCTGTACACATGTACAAACACCACGTAGAGGCCAAAATCGTGCAAAACGCACGATGGTAATCCATGCAGTATCAAAAGCAACCATGTGCGTTAAACATGCTTGCCTCAAAAATTTCCTTCCCTCCCCCACTAACAAAAACGTGATTGTTGGTTTTGGGGCTTCCCAAGTCAAGGCCTGAAACTGGTTTGTACCCAAAAAATAAAACACAGTGCAAAAGCGAATGCCAAAACCAACTTCCAAACAAATTATCTTTCGACGTTTGGTTGCGATTTCGTGGGCCGTTTATACTGATACATTAAATTAAATAAACAAATTAGGGATCTGATATTGGAAGCCACCTGCTCAGACATGCTCTTCAGGCCTTCTACCAAGATTCCCAAGGAGAATGTGGCCCGCGGCCGTTTGGCTGTTTTGTTGACTTTTCTGGTATGCTCCGCCCCTGCCATTCCCTCCAGTTCCGCTCCCTCCACCTTCCCCACTTTCCGCGCTCCCCTCACCCCACATCTTTGCCCCCCAGATCTTTGCCCCCCCTATGCCCAAACGCATGAATAATTCTATGGGCTCCAATGCATGCCCAAACCCTTCCTGCCCCCCCCCCCCCCCCCCCCCCCCCCCCCCAGTGACGCCCCATTCCTTCATGTTGCGTCAGATCTTTGCCCCCTTTGCCTGAAGTATTCTATGGGCTCCAATGCATGCCCAAACCCTCCCCGCCCCCCCCACCCCCCTCACCCTCCCCACCCCCTCCCCTCACCCCCCACATCTTTGCTCTCGCTCCCCTCACCCCGTGCTCCCCCTCTGCCTTCCCCATACTCTGGGCTCCAACGCATGCCCAAACAATGGGCTCCAATGCATGCCCAAACATTCCCTTCTCCGCCCCTGCCATTCCCTCAAGTTCCGCTCCCCCCACCTTCCCCACTTTCCGCGCTCCCCTCACCCCACATCTTTGCCCCCCAGATCTTTGCCCCCCCTATGCCCAAACGCATGAATAATTCTATGGGCTCCAATGCATGCCCAAACCCTCCCCGCCCCCCCCACCCACCTCACCCTCCCCACCCCCAACCCTCCCCCCACTACCCTTCCAAACCCTTTCCTCCCCCCCCCCCCATTCCTTCATGTGCGTTAGATCGTTGCCCCCTTGCCTGAAGTATTCTAGGGCCTCCAATGCATGACCAAACTCTCACCGCCCCCACCACCCCCCACCCCACCCCTCACCTCCCGACCCTACCGCTCCCTCATCCCCCCACATATTGCCTCCGCGCTTTCCTCACCCACAGTGCTTCACCCTCTGCCCAAACGCCTCGAAGTGTTCTGTGCGTCCAATGTTCGCCCCTTTTCCATTCCCTGCAGTGTCCGCTCCCCCCACCTTCCCCACTTTCCTGAAGTATTCTATGGGCTCCAATGCATGCCCAAACCCTCCCCGCCCCCCCCTCCCCCCTCACCCTCCCCACCCTCCCCGCTCCCCTCACCCCCCACATCTTTGCCTCCTATGGCTCCAATGCATGCCCAAACAATGGGCTCCAATGCATGCCCAAACATTCCCTTCTCCGCCCCTGCCATTCCCTCAAGTTCCGCTCCCCCCACCTTCCCCACTTTCCGCGCTCCCCTCACCCCACATCTTTGCCCCCCCTATGCCCAAATGCATGAATAATTCTATGGGCTCCAATGCATGCCCAAGTGTTTTGGGTCTCGGGCCTAGGCCTGAGAGCTTTCGTGTTTCTTCGGCGGCAAACCATCCTTCCCCCATGCATGGGCTTGGGGGCCTCGAAGGCTTTGAGGGTAGGGGTTGTCTGAGGTTTGGGGTGTGGGGTTTGAGGCGAAACCCTAAACCCTAAACCCTACACCCTACACCCTAAACCCTAAATTTAGGGTTTAGGGTTTAGGGGTTTGGGGTTTGGAATTTGGGGTTTGGGTTCTGTTGGGATGGCTTAAAGACTGCTAATTTAAGAGGAAAAAACCCAAGGTTTCAGGTTCTTAAGGTATAGAGTCCGGGTTGAACTGTGCCCGCCTGGCAGACAGGGCGCTGGCAGGCGACACGGCCGAGGGCGGTCTGCGAAGCTGCGGAGGCCGGCCAGTTGGGGGTCGGCGGCATTGGCGGCAGCCATTAAATCGGGCAGCGCGAGGTCCCCAAGGACCGAGCATTGGCGGACCTTTTAACCCGGGTCGTCCCGGGAATAGCCTTGCTGGCCTTCGGCCTTCTGCGAAGCAGAATTAGGCCGGACGCCAGTGCCGCCGACCCCTGCGTGCCGCCGGTGAACGGTTTTTTTTTCGTGGTTTTTTGCGTCGCCACGGAGGCCCCCAGAGGGCGCGCATCATGAGCATCAGCGGGTCCAGCCTGGGACCCCCAGGCGCGCATCAGGAGCATCAGGCGGCTCCCGGGGCGGGACCCCGGGGGCGCATCAGGAGCATGATGCCCCCCAAAGGGCGGGCATAAGCGACGTGTCTCAGCCCGGGGCTAGGAAAAAGCTTGTAAAGTGCTTAGAAACTTTAAGGGAGTCTAGGCCTCAAACGCTTAGAGATTTGAAGGGAGTTTAGGGACCTGAAAATGCTTAGAAACTTTAAGGGAGCCTCAAACGCTTAGAGATTTTAAGGGAGTTTAGGGGCCTCAAAATGCTTAGAAACTTCAAGGGAGTTTAGGGGCCTCAAACGCTTAGAGAAACCCCACCCAACCCTATGACGGATCTGCTCGCCCCCGCGCTTCTGCCTGCGCTGCCCGCCCATGGGCGCAGCCCCGTAAAATATAGGTATTATCTTATCTTTAGACATGTGCTTTTTGCTTAACAGGATCGAGAACCTCTCATCTCTTGCCTGAGCTGCTCGCGGCAGCACAACATCACACACCTCACGCAGGACTGCCACTGGAACAACTTGCTATGGCTGCAGCATGTTCCATAGTTGCCTACACATCCAAGGCATCGAGCACATTTGCACACATTCTCAAACTGCGCAATACTGCGCGCAGTTCCCTCGCAGTTCCCTCACTTCTTCTTGCGATGGTGATGCTGACTTGATGCACAGGCTCCGACATCACCGAAAAGGTGCCCATGACCTGGTTCGCTGCAACACGAACCAAAAAACTTCATGCGCCCCTGGAGGTTTATAGGTTGAGTGAATTGTCAGCAATGAAAATAGGCCAGGATTGCCCTGGTACCTGGGCTTGTGCAAAGGTCCATGCTGATGTCTTTTTTGAAGGGTGGCCCAACACTTGGAGCTGCTTCCATTTGCCCTTGCGCCTCAAAATCAAGCACACGCTCCTGCATTGGTGGATACGAGATGAACCCCACGACGCCTTCCCCACGACCCCTTAACTCAATGTTTCTCCTGACTTAGCTTCTCTGAAGCGATCCCCCCCCACCCCCCCGCCCCCTCCCCCCCCCCCCCCCCCCCCCCCCCCCCCCCCCCCCCCCCCCCCAATTTCTTTGGACGTCCAGTCCACTGCCGTTCAAGCGTTCTGAGGGCACTCACGTAGGCATTTTTGAGAAAGTCTGCAAACGACCTCGCACGCCGCTTGCCAGAATTCGTACGTTCCTGTACATTCACGACCCTTTCTGAGCCTTAGAGCTGAGCTCTGTTTGTCAGAGCACGGGGCACATTCCCGAGGGATCGTGCACAGCAGGGCAGGAGGTGCCATGATCGAGCTGAAAGACCCCTTTTCGGGTACTCTGATGGGAGGCAACAGCGCTTCAACTGCTCTGAGCATAGTCAACTGCCTGTACTGTATGGCCTTGCGTGGCCCCGTACACACACACAGCAAAAACGCCGGCACACACGATTTGGCAGCCCTTCTAGTGCCCAGCCAGTGAGAGCCAAGGAGCCGAGACTACAAGGAGCCACTCGTGGCTCATGATCCAGGAGGCAACATCCCCTTCATGAGCAACGACTAGAGGAATGTGACAGAAGTGGAACGACAGCATACATGAATCGAGCTACTCACAGGGCCATTCATTCTCAAAGCGCCTGATGCGGCAGCCAGCAGGACAATCTCTGCAGCAATGAGCACCTGAAGCACTCGATCTTTGCGACCTTGACACGTGTCCACAGTCTGAAGCACCCTGACAGGATGCAAGACATCTATGCCAACGGCCGTCAAGGCCAGTTGTGCTGTGAGGATGCCATAGACCTCAAGTAGCAAGGAGCATGTCATAGATGTCATCGGCACAAGATGTTGCAAGTCACGGTCGCAAGGGATGCGGAGAGGCATGGATCTTGCGGCCTTCTGCACAAAGCCACGCCGGACAGCCACCCCGGCACCTTGCATGGCAAACATAGTGACTCAAACGAGGGTGCAGTGCGGGCTGAACACTTTGAACGTTTTTGCACCGCAGTTCAATGAGGCTGCGGCGTTTGACGTCAAAGGCACCGCCGCCCAGCAAGTTCTGCGCTTCTTCCTCCTAAGACATGCTGGCAACCCATGGGCCCAGACCCCCATACCGCATCAGCTATACATAAGCTATACTCTACGTATTAACTGTGCTGTGGCCTCCAGGTCCTGCATGTTTTCGTGAATGTGAAAGTTCGGTCGGACCCAGGCCTCCCAAGGACACTCCAAGGAGTGAAATTGAGTGAAACCTCGTGTTCATATGTGTTCATGTGACCACGGGTCCCCAATGGTCCCCACACATAGGCTACCAGCGGCGATCACGGAGCGGCTATCACGATGTGTCACTGTGTCACTGCGGCTTCCTGGGTTCCGCCCGGGCTTGCGCGGCAGCGGCATGAACCTCCCCCCTGCCTGAGCCCGAGCCAAGCTCCGAGCACACGGATTATGCAGAAAGGGTGACACAAGCGGACCCATCATAGAAACACACCGGAAAGCCAAAACATCAAAGACAACAAAGGACAAGCGACAATCACAACTTGCACCCAAGAACAACCAAAGATGTGACAAGCTTGCATAGCCGCAAACTCCAAACCCAAGTCGACATCTGAATCTAACTACATCTCGTTACACATGTGTGGGTCGTGGGTCTCGCGATCCAAAACCTCACCAAATGCTCGACGGCAAGTCCCGAAATCCTAACACCGCCATGGCCCCCAACAGCAGCAAGAAGACAAAGGAAGGAGAAGGAACACGAAGAAAAGACAATTGCACGTCAGCTGAAGAGCAGGAATTCCAAAAAGCAAGTGCATCGTTCAGCTTCAGCTGCAGACTTGTGAACATTCGTCAGGTGTTGAATGCGCTGGACATCTCTCTTCCAAGTCTGGCTTTGATCCCAGCCCTATTTGCTGCGCTGTCCGGGCCGGCTGCTCAGCCTCTCGAGCAGGATGGTACAATGCGAGGGTTTTGGTGTTTTGGGCATTGGTTTGAGGCCTGCTCAAGGGCGACAGCAGTGAAACTTGTGAAAATTGTAGTGGCTAGTGGCTAGTGGCTGGGAACCCTCGTTGCACAAAGTCGCCCTCTCGCGTCATTTCAGCATAGGCGACTTGTCACGACCTTAGCATTCTGCCTTTGCATGGAAGCCCTGCGCAGCTTCTACAGGAGCGCCGATGGGCTTGCAGCAGCTTGGACAGCTGGGAATAAAGAGTCGAAGCTCGTCAAAGCGAATTGAGCAGCTCATCAAGCTCACTGTCCGAACAGTAGCACCCCTCATCTGACTGATCATTGACCAGAGTCGCGAAAGCATCCAGCCGGATCCCTTGTGATGAACCCCGCTCACGGCAAAGGAGATCGAACTCCTGCTGCCACTCCAAGTCAGTGCCAGTGAAGCCGGTCTGCTCTGCAAAGGGCCGCATGTCCCTTGCTGTCAAGAAGCCCTTTCCTGCTGTGTCCATCGCTCGAAAAGCAGCCTCAATCCGTTCCCTTCGTGGGTTTGCTGCCGTTGCACGTGGGACAGGGGCAAGCGTGTCCGGCTTTGACTGCAATCGCTCACGTAGTTGGCCAAGCTCGCTGTCTGAAAGGTAGCAACCCTCCTCGGACGGGTCGTTCACAAGGGCCGCGAAGGCGTCCAATCTTATCCCTTGTGATGAGCCCTGCTCACGGCAGAGCAGCTCAAACTCCTGCTGCCACTCCAAGTCAGTGCCAGGGAAGCCGGTCTGATCTGCAAAGGGCCGCATCTCCCCTGCTGTCAAATAGCCCTTCCTGGCCTTGTCTAGTGCTCGAAACACCTCCTCGATCAGCTCTCGTCGCGGATCCTCCAAACTATAAGCACACATACGCAGAATCTACGTGCACAAACTACAAGCATAAACAGGCACAACTTGACACCATGCCCTTCCTGCGGAGGAGTGCTTGCCGGCAGCGTGGGCGTTGCTGCTTTCGGCTCTGCTGCTGGTGCAGGCGCTTTGGAAGGAACAGCCCGCGTCTGTGGCTGCAGCAGGTTTCGCAACTCGTCGTCAGAACAATAGCACCCCTCATCTGACTGATCATTGACCAAAGTCGCGAAAGCATCCAGTCGGATCCCTTGTGATGAACCCCGCTCACTGCAAAGGAGATCAAACTCCTGCTGCCACTCCAAGTCAGTGCCAGTGAAGCCGGTCTGCTCTGCAAAGGGCCGCATCTCCCCTGCTGTCAAATAGCCCTTCCTGGCCCTGTCTAGTGCTCGAAACACCTCCTCGATCAGCTCTCGTCGCGAATCCTCCAAGCACTGTAAGCACACAGACACAGAATCTACAGGCACAAGCACAAACCATGTGCAGCCAAGCATGAACACAATTTGACACCATGCCCTTCCTGTGGAGGAGTGCTTGCTGGCAGCGTGGGCATTGCTGCTTTCGGCTCTGCTGCTGGTGCAGGCGCTTTGGAAGGAACGGCCCGCGTCTGTGGCTGCAGCAGGTTTCGCAACTCGTCGTCAGAACAATAGCACCCCTCATCTGACTGATCATTGACCAGAGTCGCGAAAGCATCCAGTCGGATCCCTTGTGATGAACCCCGCTCACTGCAAAGGAGATCAAACTCCTGCTGCCACTCCAAGTCAGTGCCAGTGAAGCCGGTCTGATCTGCAAAGGGCCGCATCTCCCCTGCTGTCAAATAGCCCTTCCTGGCCCTGTCTAGTGCTCGAAACACCTCCTCGATCAGCTCTCGTCGCGGATCCTCCAAGCACTACAAGCACACAGACGCAGAATCTACGTGCACAACCTACAAGCATAAACAGGCACAACTTGACACCACGCCCTTCCTGTGGAGGAGTGCTTGCTGGCAGCGTGGGCGTTGCTGCTTTCGGCTCTGCTGCTGGTGCAGGCGCTTTGGAAGGAACAGCCTGCGTCTGTGGCTGCAGCAGGTTTCGCAACTCGTCGTCAGAACAATAGCACCCCTCATCTGACTGATCATTGACCAGAGTCGCGAAAGCATCCAGTCGGATCCCTTGTGATGAACCCCGCTCACTGCAAAGGAGATCAAACTCCTGCTGCCACTCCAAGTCAGTGCCAGTGAAGCCGGTCTGCTCTGCAAAGGGCCGCATCTCCCCTGCTGTCAAATAGCCCTTCCTGGCCCTGTCTAGTGCTCGAAACACCTCCTCGATCAGATCTCGTCGCGGATCCTCCAAGCACTATAAGCGCACAGACGCAGAATCTACAGGCACAAGCACAAACCATGTGCAGCCAAGCATGAACACAATGTGACACCATGCCCTTCCTGTGGAGGAGTGCTTGCTGGCAGTGTGGGCATTGCTGCTTTCGGCTCTGCTGCTGGTGCAGGCGCTTTGGAAGGAACAGCACGCGTCTGTGGCTGCAGCAGGTTTCGCAACTCGTCGTCAGAACAATAGCACCCCTCATCTGACTGATCATTGACCAGAGTCGCGAAAGCATCCAGTCGGATCCCTTGTGATGAGCCCCGCTCACGACGGAGGAGGTCAAACTCTTGCTGCCACTCCTGGTCGCTCCCAATGAAGCCGGCCTGCTCTGCAAAGGGCCGCATCTCCCCTGCTGTCAAGTAGCCCTTCCCGGCCACGTCCAGCGCTCGAAACACCTTCTCGATCAGCTCTCGTCGCGGATCCTCCAAGCACAAAAAGTACACAGACGCAGAATCTACGAGGACAAACTACAAGCATAAGCAGGCACGCAGGCCCTTCCTGTGGAGGAGGAGTGCCTGCCGGTGGAGTCGGCTGTGCTGCTTTGGATTTTGCTGCGGGCGCTGGCGCTTTGGGAGGAACAGGACGCGTCTGTGGCTGCAGCAGGTTTCGCAGCTCGCTGTCAGAACAATAGCACCCGTCATCGGACGAGTCGTTCACCAGGGTCACAAAAGCATCCAATCTGATCCCATGTGTGGAACCCCGCTCACGGCACAGGACATCAAACTCCTGCTGCCACTCCTGGTCGCTGCCACTGAAGCCGGTCTGCTCTGCAAAGGGCCGCATGTCCCCTGCTGTCAAGTAGCCCTTCCCGGCCACGTCCAGCGCTCGAAACACGGCCTCAATCAGCTCTCGTCGTGGGTCCTTGAATCATCTTCGCACGGCATCTACTCGCAAGACCGGTTCTTAGCCTACTCGCCAAAACATGCAGCATGTACAGACATCGAATGGCCTGTGGAGGAGCGCCTGCCGGTGGAGTCGGCTGTGCTGCTTTGGACTTTGCCGCAGGCGCAGGCGCTTTGGGAGGAACAGCACGCGTCTGCGGCTGCAGCAGGTTTCGCAACTCGCTGTCAGAGCAATAGCAACCGTCCTCGGACGAGTCGTTCACCAGCGTCACGAAAGCATCCAATCTGATGGCATTTGTTGAACCCCGCTCGCGGCACAGGAGCTCGAACTCCTGCTGCCACTCCTGGTCGCTGCCACTGAAGCCGGTCTGCTCTGCAAAAGGCCGCATGTCCCCTGCTGTCAAGTAGCCCTTACCGGCCACGTCCAGCACTCGAAACACGGCCTCAATCAGTTCTCGTCGTGGGTCCTTGAATCATCTTCACCGGCAGATGCCAGATCTACTCGCAAGGTTTGGTTGTTAGCCTACTCACCAATATCCTACTCGCCAGTCCCAATACATGAAACACACGGACAGGTGCATGCTCAGATGTCGAATGGCCTGTGGAGGAGTGCCTGCCGGTCGAGTCGGCTGTACTGCTTTGGATTTTGCTGCGGGCGCTGGCGCTTTGGGAGGAACAGGCCGCGTCTGTGGCTGCAGCAGGTTTCGCAACTCGTCGTCAGAACAATAGCACCCCTCATCGGACGAGTCGTTCACCAGGGTCGCAAAAGCATCCAATCTGATCCCATGTGTCGAACCCCGCTCACGGCACAGGACATCAAACTCCTGCTGCCACTCCTGGTCGCTGCCACTGAAGCCGGTCTGCTCTGCAAAGGGCCGCATGTCCCCTGCTGTCAAGTAGCCCTTCCCGGCCACGTCCAGCGCTCGAAATACGCCCTCAATCAGCTCTCGTCGCGGGTCCTTGATCTTGAATTATCTTCACACGGGAGAAGCCACATTCTACTCGCAAGGTCAGGAGGCTGTTAATTAGCCTACTTGCCAATAATTATACAAGCCAATCACGTTTAATTTCTCGAATGGCCTGTGGAGGAGTGCCTGCCGGTCGAGTCGGCTGTACTGCTTTGGATTTTGCTGTGGGTGCAGGCGATTTGGGAGGAACGGCCCACGTCTGTGGCTGCAACAGGTTTCGCAGCTCGCTGTCGGAGCAATAGCACCCCTCATCGGACGAGTCGTTCACCAGGGTCGCGAAAGCATCCAGTCTGATCCCTTGTGTTGAACCCCGCTCACGGCACAGGAGCTCGAACTCCTGCTGCCACTCCTGGTCGCTGCCACTGAAGCCGGTCTGCTCTGCAAAAGGCCGCATGTCCCCTGCTGTCAAGTAGCCCTTCCCGGCCACGTCCAGCGCTCGAAATACGGCCTCAATCAGCTCTCGTCGCGGGTCCTTAGTCATCTTCACACGCCAGAAGGCACATCTACTCGCAAGGCACATGCAACACACAGACAGGTGCATGTTTAGATGTCGAATGGCATGAGGAGTGCCTGTCGCTGACGTCGGCTGTGTTGCTTTGGACTTTGCTGCTGGTGCAGGCGCTTTGGGAGGAACAGGCCGCGTCTGTGGCCGAAGCAGGTTGCGCAACTCGCTGTCAGAACAATAGCACCCGTCATCGGACGAGTCGTTCACCAGGGTCGCGAAAGCATCCAATCTGATCCCATGTGTGGAACCCCGCTCACGGCACAGGACATCAAACTCCTGCTGCCACTCCTGGTCGCTGCCACTGAAGCCGGTCTGCTCTGCAAAGGGCCGCATGTCCCCTGCTGTCAAGTAGCCCTTCCCGGCCACGTCCAGCGCTCGAAACACGGCCTCAATCAGCTCTCGTCGCGGGTCCTGCATGTAGGAATCTATAGAATATATCAAGGGCAAAGCCATGAGCTCGCTGCCTGGCGCATCTCTCGCTGTGCTAATTGCAAGTGGCACACGCCTCAGAAGAGCACTGGAGCACTAGAGCACTTGTGGAGAAGCACTGGAGCACTGTTGGAGCCCTGGGAAACACTGACGGGAGGTGGGAGGCTCTCGGGCCAGCACCAGCACTTCCGGCAGTTCCCCGCAACTGCTCAGCATCGTTCCTTGGAGGCTCAGTTCATCTCAACACTATCATATATATATATGTATGTATAAATTTATATATAATTTTTTCACCCCTCCTCCCAAGACCGACGCTTGTGAAGCCACATTTCCAATTTCCGCCTGCTGGCTTTCCAGATTTCCGCCCTCTCTAACTCTAAGTTTCCAGACTCCAGAATTCCAGTTTTCCACCCCCTTTGAATCCAGGTGGGAAACCTGGAAACCTGGCGAGCTTAGCTTCGTCGCCATTCTACATGCCTCCACTGCTAGGATGTATCCAATCAACCGCCAACCGGATTGCTTCAGCAAATTTCAGCAAAATGGCAACTCGCGACCCATCTGCAGCAGTCTCTGCGTTGCCGACGGTACACCCAGCATATTCCTGGGTTTACCAGAGCATGTGAACGATGAGGTCACAGCGTAGTGCCGTGAGATGCTTTGAGATGCTTCAGTATATCCTCCGGACTCCGGTTGAGACGGTTGTATTTGTTCAGAACTCTTTTCTGAACTCAAGTCGGAGCTGGGTCTCTGCAGGTGGACCTTTACGTCGGCCACCTGAAGACATCAGAAGACAGAGCCCTCCACAGGACACCACAGGACAGATGTAGGATAGTCTCAGAAAGCTGTCTCCCCGCACCGTCTCCTCTGGATCCACCTCCAAGAAGTGCTCACCACCTGGTATTCCAAGGGGCATCGAGGGGGACTGCATGGGACTGCTGACTCCACAGCTGACTCTGAACATGAACAAGCGTGAACACGTGAACTGAACGTAACACACAGCGCCTTGGAAGGTACGGATCTGAAGCTTCACTTTGGATGTGTATCTTGCCGGACCCGGGCCAGCATTGGCTCCAGTGTCGACCGTCGTGCCGACCGTTCTCCGGTCATTCTCTGTGGAAGTGGATGTGGTTCTCACCTCGAACCGACATCCAGTGACGTGAGTGACATGAGTTGTGATTCAGTGGTATCACTGCAGTCAACTCAAGCGTCCTTGTGCTGCGCCAGCTGCGCTCGCTCGGCCTCCATGCAACTCTGTAGAGTCTGTAGAGCGATGGGCGCACGATGACTTTCCCGCAGCATCAGCAGCAAAATTACTCTTCCGAGGGCTTGGCCCAAGTCAGGCCATCGCTGGTCGGTGGCCTGGAATTCGCCAAAATCGTAAACTTAGCAATGCTATGCAATGCTCTGATTGCTCTGCAACATTCATCGAGCTTGCGCTTTGGCAGAGGGCCCAGAGGGCCCAACTGTGAGGGGCGGGGTGCAAAGTCTGCGGCGAAGTTGGGAGCGCGCTGCTCCTCTGTTGCCACAGGACATCAGCAAAATGGAACCAGCCTTGACAGAGTCTAGTCTTGCAGAGGTCCTGGGAACGCCGCTGCCTTAACACATCTGCCAGGCTCGAAGGTGCGGCTGTGCCGAGACTTGGAGTGCCACCTCGCCGCGGGCTCCAACAGCCGGGGCTAGCTGCTGACACTCTGGTGCCCCGCGCCCGAAGCAACGACGTAGCTAATGTTCAGGGGTTTGTAGCTTCTCTTGCCTGGCGCGGGCGTGGTTCCGGTCTCAGTCCATGAGTGCTGGTGGGCCTCACCTTTTTTCGACCGGCCCTGCGTCGAGGCCAAAGGGTTCAGCAGGCCCTGTGCATCTTCTTCCTCTTGCAGCATCTGCCTGGGCAGGTTGAACTGTGAAGGGAACATTTTCAAGCCTACGCTCTGGGCAGCCAGGCGCCAGCAACATGTCGGCAGCCAGGGTATCCGTGGTATCCTCTGGAACGGGCCTGGCTTTCATGTTCTGTAATTCACAGCAAAAAAGACAACATAAAGAATAATGATCATCAAAGATCAATCTACGGCCGCATGGCTATTCCCAACACTCTCGGCTCGCGGCAGTCGGGAAGATGCCTGCGCCTGTCCACGCGAGTTCAGCGCAGGCACGGGCATTGCAATGGGTTGTGACCAGAAGGACATGAGCAGCGAGAGACTTTTTTGCCCATGAGCCGTGTTTCCATAGGCACCTCTTGGTACAGCTTGCGCCAGAGAAGTGAGTGGCGTCGGTTGCAGGGATCGGCTCGGAGCGCCCTCCACTTCGCAGACGACTCAGACGTTGCAAGACACAAAGCCGGGAATCGGCTCCGGCCCTGATCGGCAACGTGGCCGGGAACGAAGACGCTGCCATTGAAGACCTCGAAACGCTGACTATAGTCCTCGAAGAGACACCGTCGCAGCTGGGCATGGAAGCCTCCCCAAGGACGGTACTGAGCACTACTAGCACTACTAGCACTCGGCTCAGCCAAGGGCACCAGGCGCTCTGCTGTGAGGCACCAGCGAGATCGCGAAGAGCGCGAAGAGCGCGAGGGGCCGTGGATTTCGCTCCAAACCAGCGCGCCATCGGCCAGACTCCACAACCCCCTGATTTCGGATGCAGCGGCGGCCGCACTTTTGGGGGTGGCCTTCTGAGTCTTTCTTGTGTCACAAGAAACCAAGGCCAACTGTCGTTCCGATCCTTCCCAGCGGGATCCCGTTCGGGAGACTGCACCTAGGCACCAGCGGCCCTGGCGCAAGGAGAAGAAACCAGGGCTGTGTGGGCTCGGCTCTCGAAGAAACAGCTGTCTTTGCTCCAAGATCTGGGCGATGTTGGCACACGGCTCCAGAGCCATATCGCCCGGGACATTCTCTGAACCCTGCAGGCATTGCTTCATGGAAGGAGTACCCTTGCACAACGGCTGACCGTTCTGCACCCAAAAGAGCTGGTTTTGCGTGTCTTTGCAATGTGACGCCACCAATCTGGAGCCCTGCGCAGCCAAGCATCGGCCATCACCAGCAATGCGAAGCAGTCGCGGGAAGCCGCTGAGGCCCTCTTCCAGCTCTTCCATTCTATTTTCTCTATTTTCTCTATTTTCTCCCTGCTCTTCCAGCTCTTCCAGCGTCGCTCGGTCTTCGGCCTGGAGCTCCGTGCAAGGAGACAGGAAGAGCTCCGCGAGCTCCCGTGTGTCATCTCTTGGCCGTGCCAGACACCAATGCCCCACGAAGCGCCAGGAACCAGCATTCCCGGCAAGAAGGGGCAGCGATTGTGCTTGGTAATTCTGGTGACTTCGGTGTCGGTGCAGGAGTGCGGGCTGCTCGAGTGGAGCTCGTGCCAGGCACTGTGGAGCCAGTTCCGCTGCTGCTGCTGTCGGAACCGTGATCAAACCATCCGTGAACATAAACTCCTGATATCCAGATGTCTGGAAGAAGGAACACATTCCAGTCTGAGGGAGCAAGGTCCACACCAGAGCATGCTTTCTCGCACGTGCCGCGGTCTCCGCTTCAATTTCGTTTCTCTTATTCTTTTTCCATCTTCCTTCCATTCTCTCGCTCTCATGCCTTCTTAACTGAAATTGGGCACAAATGGCATTTGCCTTAACAAGAACAGATCCGAAGCAACAGTTTCACTTAGGGTACTTTCAGGGCTTTGCATGTGCCCGGTCAGCTTGGCGACTTAACATGTTGATTTGTCAAGAGAGAATGTTTGGTTTCCTCTCGGCCGGGATCTCCGATTTCGGGCCCTTTGAGGAGGAGCTCACCATAGCTCACGTTACCATCTCTACCCGTTTTGTTAAATTTGTCTTTATGGACGAGCTTCTGTTATGCAAAGACATTTGTTCAAAAACTCAGATGCCGCGACCACCAGACGGCTGGAGTCCCTTACTTGCGCTGCTGATGTGTTTTGTACCCCCACCCCCCCAGCCCCCCCACCAGAAAGAGAAAGAGAAAGAGAACGAGAAAGAGGAAGAGGAAGAGAAAGAGAGAGATAGCGAGAGAGCGTGCGACAGAGAGAGAACGAGAGAGAGAGCGAGTTTAACCCGAGCTTCCCCAAAGCGACCCCCTCGATGGTTTCGAGCTTTCCCGACTTGAGACAAAGCGCGGTCCCTAATTTTGTGGCTCGAGCCAAAGACTGGCCTGGAAGTCGGCGCCGTACCAAGCCAAGCAGACATCGTAGTCCCAAAGCTTCAAGAGTGATGTTCTCTGCCCTGCGTCCGACATGTCCGACTCCGTTGCCTCTTGAGTCTCTTGAGTTTCTGAGTCTGATCTTGGGCCAGTTGGGCCAGTTGGGCCGCTTGGGTGCCGGAACTGCCACCGTTGGAAGGTGAGGCCCCTGATGCAGCGGCTCAGGAAAGGCCTGAAGTTTCGGTAGGGATCCGCGGTCAGGCAGAGGGGCACATGGGAAACGTGGGAAACGTGGGAAACACCTTGCCCGCCCTCCACAAGTTGCAGGTGGAAGACGGCTTGAGGCAGCATCCCCACAAGCTCGAAGAGCGTTTGGAAGCGTTTCACGTAGGCTTCGAAGGGTGCACAGCGTAGCTGGCGCTGTAGCTCTCGGAGGCCATGAAGGCTCTGCTTCAAGGAGTCCTCTGAGACCTCTGTGACACTTTGCGAGACTCTCTGAAGACTCTGAAGGGACTTTGCCTTTGCCTTTCTTTTTGAATGGAAGAGGTGCTCGCGGAACTCGGGGAAGCTCCGAGTTTTCGAGGCCCAGGGCCCCAGCCAAGCCTCTGCTGCACGAAGCCGGTTTCTTAAAGCCTGTGCTTCCGAGAAGACGTAGCCCGGTGCTCGCGAGTGAACCGAGACGCCACCTTGGTCACGCCAGAGGTGGGCCACCCGGGAGTTCTGTGCGGCGCGGATCTCACCGCCGCAGAGCCAAGTCCGCAGGGACTGGTCCAGGTTCTCCCCGCCCCATCCTTGCAGCCACACGTCCTCCTTGACAGACTCAGTAGGACCCAGGCCGCCCGAGAACTGCCACCAGCGCCTTGTAAGGGCCAAAATGCCACCCGAAAGCAAGGGAACGGCATCACCAGGCCAGCCGTCGCACCAGAAAGAATCGGCAGCCCACGTCAGGCCTGCAAAGACAAAAACTGATTGCATGTCGGGCATGAGAAGTTTTTCACTCATTGCAGAGTAACACACGGACTTTTTGCTGAGACTCCGATAAACTACGTATACAAACAGATGCCAAAGAAGATCCAAAGGAGCACATCTTCTGGCCACCTCTGGGGGGCTGAAGTTCCTGCTGAGAGCAAAGACAAGAAAATGTAAATGCATCTGAACAGGATGCTGACTCTGAACTTGCCCGGGCCTGCCAAGTGTCCGGGTCTAAGCTCGTCATGAGGGGCACGGCCACTCGTCGCCAGTCGGCATTAAGGTGCTCTAGGAGACCTTCAGTCCAGTGTTCCATTGGCCGCACGTGACAGTCCAGGAAGATGATGGCATCCCCCGTGGCCGCGTTGGCCCCCCGTTGCTTCGAGCGCAGCAAACCCAGTGGCTGGGAATTTCGAAGGATCCGCACGCGGTGTTTCGCAAAAAAACCGTCAGAGCCTTGAGACGAGGCGTAGTCAGCACCAAGAGCCCGTAGTGACTGCCGTAGTGCACGCTCCAAACTCGGCTTGGAGGCATCATCCACCAAAAGGATCTCCAAGAGCTCAGCTTGGGGTGTGGCTTCCCAAATTGCATGCACGGTGTGCCGCGCGTTCCAAGCGCTTTCGTTGGCGCATGGCACCACCACCGACAGTGTGGCGATCGGCACGGTGCGATCTGTACTATCTGTGCTGGCAAGAGGAGCTTTCTCTTGGGACGCAGCGAAGGCAGCTGGAGATCGGAGTGCACGGCCACCACCCTCGATTTCGGGTAACGCTGCTTGTCCAGCCAGAAAGACGAGGCAGAGTGCATTGAGCACGTAGCTAAACAAAAGACGTAAGCCGAATGAAGAAACAGAGCCTGCTGGCCTGAAAAGCTCGAAAGCCACATGGCCAATTAAGAGGACGAGGCAGAAAGTCACCAGTTCACCAGAAATCGGTGCCAGCAGGACTGTGAGGAGGACGAGTGGCAGCATGGACAGCAGAACAAGCACCACTCTATGGAGGACCATTTTCACAGGCCGCCCCTCTTCGCTGCCTTACATCAATCTACACTCGACTCTCACTTTGTCCCTTATGGATCCTTCCTCTGGCTTGGGCCACAGGTCCAGGCAGCTTGTCTGACAGACGCATGAGACACGCATACTCTCTGTGGCAGCTGGCCTGAGTCTGTGAAGTCCTGCAGCTGGCGCAAAGTGTCGACCCAATGGGTTCAGCCGTGGATGCTGCGCCTCCCGGCTTCGTCTTTCAGTCGGGTGGCGAGCGCTGCACGCTCCTGCCGGGGCCTCGTGCAGCTCCAAGAAATGCTACTGGCTACCAAATGCTACCAACACATCCACGCACTGATCACTAGCTCTGCGTCTTCGGACTCGTCTCTGGCCCGGGCCATTTAGGGCAAAAGTCCTCCATCAGCTCCATGAGCTCGCTGGTGTCGGAAGCTGGCGCTACCTTTAACAAGTACTCCAGCACCTGGATGCAAAGGCAGAAAAGTGGCAGAAGAACTTGATGGAGAGAAGCATGTTTTGCAGTGCTGTCCTCGTCATCGAAAGGCAGTCGCCGGACCATGGCCTCCAGCCTCGCTCGTGCAGCCGCCAGAGCTGTGCCTGGGCCACCAGGGCCGCCGGGGCCGCCGGGGCCGGCCATCTTGGAAGGCGAAGGGAAGCCACTGCTCAAAGATTGAAACGCACTCATTGGGGCTCTACTTTTTTGCATTCTGCTCTAGATCTTCTTGGTGCTCAGGTTGTCGGTGCTCATGCTGTACGTCCATGTGGCATCTGCAGCTTGGAGGACTGCCGTCTCAATTGGACTTGAGCCCGGGCTGTAACTACAGGCGGCTGCTTCTAGTTGCGAGCGGGCGCTGATGTTGACAGAGATGCCAGTCTCACTAGCCGTGGATGAACCTTTTTTGCCACCTCACATCATCATACCGCCAATGCATGGGCCTCCTGCGCTCATCCCGCCTGTGGGGCCTGAAGTCAAAAAAACAGCCCGGAGTCGAAGGCGAACGGGACAATCAGTGACCATCAGACTGAAAATCCTTACAGCATCGTAGCATCCAAGCAGTGCAAAAATGCGCAAGAAGCCCAACCTGCAAAGGGACTGGAGGCCTCAGTTTCCATAATATGTGCCATCATCCAAGTTTTGGGCTCTCTAAACAATCAGACAGAGCACGCGCGCCCACGGCCATCTTGAGCAAATGATGCGAAAAGTTACGTAGATTTATGAAATTTTATGAACCAAAACCCAGGAGTGCCGAATAGCACCGATCTCCTAGCATCTGCTTGCCTGTTTCATTTATTCTTGCTTTCCGTTGTCTCATCTTTGCTTCTGGTCTCTGGACGAACACTCCGTGCAGGGGGCTCTGCTTTTTCGAGGGAATCGAGGTGGGCAGGGGCGTGGAAGGGCCCAACCCTGCTCCGTATGCGATGTATGCGCGCCATGGCTCTATCTCTCCCTCCCTTCCTTCCCGCACGCTTATATAACCCCCGGAAAGGTTACGCCAAAGTGTGCTCAAGTCCGAAATGATGTATGTTGGCGGGCCCTCGCTATGCTCCGCATGGGATCAGAAGTTGGTGTGGGCTTTTGCTCCTCTGCCGACGGACTTCTCATTGAGGCACTGCTCGACATAGTTTTTCCAAGTGGCTGAGCACTGAGCACTCTGTTCTCAGGAGTCTTGTTGTCGTGTTCCCCCCTTTTCGCCGGCTTCTTTGAATCCAGCTTCCGTTCCTTCTTGATCAGTCTTCTCCTTAGGTGTGGCCTGTTTGTAGCTGCCTCCCACTAGGCAAGTGGTGGTGCAGATTTCTTCCGCCATCTTCTTCCTGCCAGACCACCATATGCTTGGCGTGTGGATACGGATGTGACTGGCAAGCCTCGCGGCAAGCCTGTTGCAAGGGCCGGTATAGGGAGAATTTCAGCTTGCGTGCTCCCGAGCGCACAATAGCCAAGTGGGCTTGTTCGAATTTCGATGTCCAAGATGCCAGTACGACTGGGCCCTCTGCTCATGTCCGCTCGCACTTCAGCGGCTTCTGCGCGTGGGGATTTTTGCTACGTAGACAGAACTCAGTATTTATTGAATCAGTATTGGCATGTGAGGTTCGCAGACTGCAGTCGTGCCTGCTCTGGTTTTGGAGTTTGGGGCTTTGCTGTTAGTAGATTTTGGGAGATTGCAGCTTCGGTCGCAGGAGTTCTGATCACAATAACCTGGGTTGCCAATGATTGTTTCCAAGGCCCGAAAACCTCATTCCGGATTGTCATGGTGCCGATGAAACAGCTGCGTGCTTCAGCCCTGAGAGCATGTCCAAGACCAAAACGCTTAAATTCGCTCTGCCTCACAAGACGCTCTCAGCTCCACACTTGCACTGCCGAGAAGGGGCTCGCACTGGGTGCGCCTGACAAGTGAAGACCACCGGAAGCATCGGCAAGCTAACACTACTTGGTGAGAAACTGAAACTCCGAAACTCACGTTTCTCGCCGGATTCTCACCCGCCACAGCTGTGCCAAGGTCGGACAGCTCTGACATCTTGAGGTCCGGGCCCCACTGCCAGACGATAATGTCGCCGTGCAGCCCAGCCGTGACGAAGATACCATCAGCATGTGCATCGACGATGGCCTCCCCGGCTCAAGGGCTGCAAGCTTGCGATCGGGCAAGGCGGATGTGACGATCTTGGAAGCAACGTTGTATAAGTACAATTCCTGACCACCACAATGTTCTATTGTCATCGATTCTTGTCAGTCTAGTGAGTTTAGTAGGTATACAGAAGAGTACAGTACCCTGCAGCTGGGAACCAGCAACATGCAACAGTCGTCATACAACCCAAAGAAGGCCTTTCGGACGACAACAATTTGGAATCTGTCAACCTCGATGCCTTTTCCATCATCTCATCAGTGCAGTGCCTAAATCGCAACTTACAGTACCCGTAGCTGGGATGAAACCCCCTCGAGATGCAGTTGCTTCTGAGTTTCCGCTCGTGTCCATCATCACACACCGACGGCCAAAGCAACCCTTCTCCACCCTTTCTTTGTCCGGTCCAAGAACATAAAGTCTGCAAGAGAATGCTGCCACTTTAAGACACTATTCTTGGAGCTTAACAGACTGAATCACGTTTAGACAGAAGTCTTAAGTGCTTAATAGGCCGACCGAGGCATGACCAGGGGTGCTGGGGCCCCCAAGGGTGGGGACAACGCTTGCAAGCACCGAGTACCGCGGAGAATCTGAACTGGACGGACAAGGGGTTATATGGGGGGAAACAGCTCGGACAACGACAACCGGAGAAGGCCCAAGGAGGCCCAGAGGGAAGTGGGGCGGGGAGGAGGGGGACATCGGCACGAATCACTTCCACACGACACTGCTGGCCAGTGATGTGCAAGTACGAGACTGTTTTAGGCTGCATACTTGACACCGCCATGTAAAAGACAAGTGCAGTGCGCGCAGAATCGCTTTCTGATTTCTGCCATGTGCCACGCTTGCCCCACATGAAAGTGAACCACTTGCCCCAATTACCCCACCTGCTTCTACGGATGAGGTATCTATCTAATTTTGCATGCTTCACCTGCCCCAGGGTGGTGTATTCGAGTACAAGTCTGCATGATGAGGCTCCCAGTGTGGCCACTAGTCTGCCTCCTAGCACGCGACGGCGGCCTGAGGGTGGAAAGATGTGGAAAGCCCTTTATCAGAACTTCAAGAGAGGACGAGTCTGCCTTACAATCAGCCTAGTAACCTATAAGAGGCAGACTCGTACGAAGCCGGGCGACGTGCGAGTGGAGGAGAAGGCAGGGTCAGGGTGACAAGAGTGGGGGGCAAGGAAGGTTGTGGGAAGCCACGCAAAACAACCTCGATTCGAGAGAAGAAACTAGCTCTTGAGGAGAAGCAAGCGTGGCAAGCGGGGCAAAGAAACAATGGATTTTGCGGCGGTCTCAATGGAAGAGTGACCTGTGTTAGCCGCTTCCCTACCCCACCACCCCACCTCGCCTTCACATCACTGCGGTCTTTGCAGCAAAAGCTGCCCCGAGGACGGAACTCTGGTAGGTCGTACGCAGTCACCTGGAAGGAGGCGGACGCATACATTGGAACAGAAGGCGCTGTGCAAATGCGGCTGAAGGGCGTAGCCCTGCACTTGCCCGCACAGCAGAAGTGGCCTCCCATGAGATGGACAAGCAAAGGGCGTCCACTCCGCAAACTCTTTTTTGGGCCACGACTTCTGAGTCGCGGGGTGCAGCATGAGCTCCACCTGACGACCATGCTTACGACTCATCGAAAGCTCCAGCACATGCTCTGCATGACGTATGTTACTCTGAGGTGACTCGATGTTCTCATCTGACTGGGACTGGGTGCGGCGGTGTTGGACGCGTGCTCGCCCATAGCGTGCCGCCGGAAGACCTGGGAGCCTCTCGTCAGTGCTTTCGAGCTTGGCGCCAGTTCTGGAGCTGTCTTCGCTCTGTCCAGTCTGATGGGGTGCCTGAGGCTTCGTAGATGCTCACCTCGCCATTGCGGAAGGTCGCGATCATGAAGCCTTGGCACTCCAGCCTCGGAGAAGTGGCACAGCGTGGCACACACGCGACATGAAGGCGTCTTAAGCGCCGAGCAATCCCGTCACGTGATGTTGAGAGGAAATCGTTCCTGCGGGTTCTCACATGTTCTCACATGTTCTCACCGGCCGTTGCCAACGAATACCACAACCTGCATGCCAAACTCCCATCAAGAAGTGAGCGGGAAAGGTTGCGTCATGTTGTGTCCTCGTGCTTGCAAAGTCCCCAAGTCAAAGCAGGAGATGCCCTCGTAGCCCCCCACCTGGGATGCATTTTGGCGTCGGCGGGGGCAAACATAACGTGGCACGTACAGTAAGGAGAGGAAGTACGACCGAACTGCAGGAACCGCACAGTATGTTTTTGACTGGCGGCGGCAATTTCCAAAAATGACAAACAAACACCAATCAACATCAATCAACGCATAGCCACGAAGTTGTCGAAGAAAGGTTTTGCTCAGCAGTACTTCAGCAATGCGCATTGCTGTGCTCATGATTCTCTCTGTGCCGGGCCCAGAGTGCTTCACCGAGCACCCGCAGGCAGGTCACAGGGCCGCTAGGGTTCGTCCTCGGTCCACCATGCGACAACTGACGATTGAGGGGTGCATCTGACTGCTGGCTACTTGCTGGCTCTACGTCTTGTGGCATTGTGATGTGTGCCTACACAAACGCGACATCTTGGACAGCTTCGGATCTCTGCAGCAGACTCTGAGGGCACAGCAGGGGCTGACCATGGCCTTGCGTTTTACATGGCTTTGCATTATGAATGATTGCAGAGAGGCAAAGCAAGCGCAGCTCGACCTGGGGAGATTTCAGGGCACCCTTTTCTCGAGCACAAATCAGGTGGCCTTGGAAGGTCTGGCCATTGAAGGTCCAGAGCCGCACTTGGCCCTCGTTGGACCCCGAGATAAGCACTGAGGAGTGCACCTCCGAAAAAGCAGAAAAAAGCGCAAAAAGGATGTGCATGATCGAACGTGGTGATATACCGTTTCATGCCGTGAGCTTTGCTTGTGCCGGAGCCTGGAGACGCATGGAGCCGATTCTTGCTGCGGGATATGAGATGATACAGATTGCTACACGAATAAGCGAATGGAGAAGATTCTGTCATGATCCATCTGACACCTGTCAAGATGTTCGTGCCTGGAGGCAGGTCACTGAGCGGCGGTGGCCCGCCAGCCGCTCCTCCCGCATCGGCTCCTTGCCTCAACCAAAGACTAAAAGATAGAAGGGGCTTGTGAGAAGAAAAGAAGGAAACCATTGAAGGTCAACAAGTGCGTGAGAGGCAAAGCGACAAGGAGAGGCAGACAGAGAGGGATGAGAGAGGACTGAAATCAACAAAGACCAAAAGTCGCGCTAAAAAGAAAAAGCGTAGATACATCAATCGCGACATATCTGACCTCCACATGGGTTCCCTCGACCATCTTCGCAGACCCGAAGAGGATTTCAATCACCAGAACCCAGGAAAGTCTTTTTTACTGGGACGCAGGCAGAAGGCCCGGATATCTCCATCTGCAGCAGGACCCAATTTCTCCCCCAAGGCCCCTCTAAAATGCAGCAAGTGCGGCCTATGCTGATGAGAAGATACAATGCTAAAACTCTGAGGACGCGACTCCAAAGGCCACAGAGCAGCCACTTTGCGGAGGCCTCGTAGAAAATGGCCGTAATGCTGGCACCTCAACATTGTGCGAGACATTTTAACCTCCGGACGTGTCCCTACACATGGTTGAGATTCATTCAGCTACTCAGCTACTCAGCTACTCCCTCCCGTCAGGACAACCGCACCAGCATGAGGACTGTCAAGTTTGATTGTTCAGGTTGGCATCAGTCAATCTCGAACGTGCAGCCAGGCACCCAAGTGAATCGGAGGGCAATCCTGCATGAGCTCAAATTCTCCATTGGCCGTGCGCTCGGCTCTCCAGACCTCTGGTGCTGACTTGGAATAAAAGCGTCAATTTGCAGGGAACGATCGTAACATACCAGTAGCGCATGAGGCCACGGCGAACAGATATTCATCACGCCCACCAGTGTAAATTTTGCCATCTGCCATAAGCATACAATTCACGCCATCGCTGTGCCCCATGTTGTGCGGCCTTAGCAACAACAACTTTCGACTGTTTTGCCCCCAACTGCCTCCGCTCACACCTCGTCATGAGTGATGTTCTGCAGGGCCCGGCATGTAGTACAACTTTCGCAGCTCTGAGCCCTGGCAGTGCTTCCATGTGCTGCACATGCTTTCACCAACAGGTAGCCCTGCACAGCACTGGTGGCCTTTCCTAACATGGGCCCGGTCACGTCATCGGACACCTCAGGATACATCACATCACATCATATTATACATTCATGCACATATATTGCCTGAAGCTGATGGTTCATGCAAATGCTGTGGCTCCCTGCATTGGGCCCCGCCGGACCTGCTGCCACAGTCCCGGCTGGAGCGAAGGGGCTGGAGCCCACTGGCGCCTGCGACGCCCACTTATATACATCACATTGCATCAACTTACGACGTGCGGATTTGCCCTTGCACCAGCCAACGCACCTACTTGGTGACTTACATCCAATACAGCATCAAACTGATACAGTCGGGTTGCCTAGATTGCTGAAAGCAGCCGACTGGCCTGCACAGCAGTTCGGTTCCATCCCTTATTCCACGACATGGTGGAACTGGATCACCTGAACACGGTCCGTTCATGTCTGCAAGCTACTATGCCGTACGAGTATATAGCAGTGCACTGGTGAGCATCTAAGTGCTAGACCATACCGAGCAGGGCTCACGCACCATCACGCGTGAATCTCCATAGCTCGGAGGTCCCCAACACGCTTGAACACATCGAGGGCGGCATGAAACATCCATTGGGGATATGGGGGGTCTTTGTTCAGAGCTCCAGAGTCGAACAACGATGTCACAACGCATGCCATCGTTCTGAGAAAAGCAATTGGATGCAAAAAATCTGATAGGAGCCACGAACCCGAATGCAGGAACCTGTCACGTATAACGCAAATAATACAACGCAATATAAACGAAACATCGGTGCGCGAGCGGAAAAGAGTGGTTTTTTCGCACGGTTCAATCGGAGCATTGCGCATGAAGTTGCGCGTAGTCACGTAGTCGAACGCACATCTAGCCCACCCGCATCCCACCGACCCTCACCCCACCCACCCACACCCACCCACACCCACCCACCCACATCCCACCCATCCACATCCCACGCACTCACACCCCACCAGGTGCCACCACCACCACCACCGCCACCACCACCACCACCACCACCAAGTACCACCAAGTACCACCAAGTACCACCACCACCGCCACCAGGCACCACCACCACGGCCTTCACCACCACCGCCCACCACCGCCATCAGGCACCACCACCACTAGCATGCGGTTCCAATATACTGATTGCAGAAAGGGTGAACATGCCGCGACAGCCCGAAAAAGGGTACTTCAAGAGAGGATGCATGCTCATGCATGCTCGAAGGGTAGAATGGTTCAAAGTGGACTAGAGTGGTCGTCGCAGAAAATGAGCGAGGCGTTTCGGCAGATTGGAGACCGGCGCACGGCGGGACGTCGATGACCGTTGGATCGAAAAAAACACGACGTAGTCCAGAGTTCCCAAGCGAGTTGCATACAATTCAGACAACTTCAGTAGCATAATGACCATCTTTTCTGGACACGGGCCCCGCGTCGTGTGGCCTCGGAGCTTGTCGTGATGCTCTCCCGACCCTCAGACCATGGCATCCATGGCTGAGTTTCAGTTTCGCTCCTCACCTTCCCAGATCTTACAGCTGCTGTGCGGCTGCAGTCTGGCGGTCACGAGCCTGTTTCCGGACAACTATTCATGCCGCTGCTCCTTCTTCGTCTTCTTGTTCTATTGATTCTTCTTGGTTGCCCGTCAATTGCTGTGCAGTAAGTTGCGGCTTGCAGTGAGCTTGAGGAGACCGAGGTGCCCTCATTCCATCTCCTCACCCCAAGTGAAGGATTGCCATTTGCTTAGATTTGCTTGCCACTTGACAAAAGAGCTCAACCTCTGTTTCTCGTGATTTCTCGTGCGCCTGGGTGAGGGCATTCGTGCCTGCATCCTGAACACAACAGCCTGATGCAAGACATTGACATCACCTGACTGCATCGAAGCACGCAGCCGCAGCTTCAAGGACAAACAGCTCGATGATGCTAGTGTGTCTGCTACGTTTGTTCACGTGACCGTCGGTATGACGCTCCATGAGATGCCGGCGGGCGACTCTTTTGAAGTCACCGTGTCAGGCCGGTGCGAGGACTACCAACATCCCGCTTCGTCATTTCGTAATTTTAAAACCCGGGGATCTGGTCAGGCATGCGAAGGCCTCCACGCACCTCCATACTTGGAACATCGCACTCGAAGAACGATGTCTTTGACAACCTGGCGCCCTGTTCAGAATTTCGTTGTGATTCAGAAGCAGCTCACTACGTCTGATGCCTCGCGGACATTCTGACAGCAACATGTCGGATGGTTGTAGCACGGTGTGCACGGCATGCGTTGGTACGTCACCTTTGTGGAAGCGCAGAGAGCCGCTTGGTGCCGGGATGGTTAAACACGACCTGCTGAATGCTCTGCAAAGACATGTTGTGTGAAGGCATGCCGCAAGCTTTCCCTTCTTGACCTGTGCTGCCCACAAATGACCCTCCTAAACACAAAGCGCAGCCCTCGACATCTCAAATTGACTTGAATCTCCGGTCCTTGTTTTGGCTTCTGGACAAGCGTCTCCCATATGGAGTCACAGACACAACTTTAAAGTCAAATTTTAAAATTTACGGTTCGCTGTTGTGCGCTGCTCATGGTGCGAGCAGGGCGAGCCCCGTGATGGCCATGTGTATGGCAGATACTATGGCTACTATGATGGCCTTTCGCATGGCCATGGCCGGGCCAGGCCCGGATCGTTGTTTCTTTGCCTTAGTTGCCCACGCGGGCATGACACACCATGACGCAGCCTTCAAACCTTACATTCATTGAACACTCGACTGTTCACTGGGTCCTTGGAGTCTGTCCAGAAATGACTCAAGAGTCCGCATGCCGAGACATTGCCGAGAGGCTCCTCTGAAACTCCGCGCGTCTCCGCGCATCTTGTGTCATGCGGCTCTGTCCTTGCCAGTCCTTACATTTTTGAAGGGACTTAGCGATGCTTGGGGATGCTCGGGAATGGCGGGCGATGCTATGAATATTTTGAAACAGCAGCACAGGTTCCTTCGAGATCCCTCGGGGCCCAGGCACGACTTTGACGAAGATGCGGGTAAGCGGCACAAGCCAGATGCCTCGATCGATCCGAATTTGGAACTCTTCATAGACTTGTGAATTGTGTAGGCTTCTCGTCTGACCGCCGAGAATGCTGCACGAGAGGACGAAGAGGCCCAAGACAGAGATCCTGGGGAAGTGGATGCTGTAAGCCAATGCAGAGATCCCTGCATGCTCCATGGCATCATGTAGACAGGAGGCCCATTTATCACGGCGAAGTAGAGCGGAACATGCGAAGGCCTTCAAAGCAGATTGGCAGCTTGTGGAAAGGCGCAGCACGAAGCTGCCATGTGACAGAGCAGCCATGAAGCTGCAACATCGCGAGGTTGGGAAGTTTTGCAGGTTCCCCTTTTTTCGTCTTGCTTTTTCTCGCGTGCTTCGGAAGCTATGTCTATGTTCTCTATCTCTATCTACGCAGGCATCCAAGAAACGCAGTAGGCATGTCTGAGGCAAAGCAACTCCAGGCGCATGCAGGAGTTCGGCGCCGCCCTCAGACTCCAGCACGTCTGCAGGCCCTCCTCACAAGAAATCTTACTCAAACAAATAGACCCTTAGCAACTGTCGTTTATTTCTTTTCATGGGTCGTTGTGTCATCGCAGAGAGGTACCCCTTCCCACTGTTGCAGGTACTAGTATGTTGCAGCGCAGTCTCACTGTCTCGCAAATTTCAGGCACGATCACACAGTCAAGCGGCGCAGCCAACAATGCCTGCTTTGGCTACTTCGAGCTGCTTACTTTTCATTGTTCTCCCAGTCTTGCAGCTGGTAGAATCAGTAGAATGCCTGAATTTCTGGAGCCAGCTTGCCACCTCGGACTATCTGAACTCTTCAAGTGCCAGACGACCTCGTAGCCAGTTAGGCAGGTTTAGGGTAGCGGACACTATGACCAGTGACTGCGGGATGCCAATGCCGATAGTCCTAGCTTTCACATTTGGATTGATATCAGTATCAATGATATATACATACATTCTTATCTATTTACGTATTGATTTCGATATTTGCTGATATTTATGATTATGTTTATATCTACACTTATATTTGAACTTTTCGAGTTCTGGAGAAAAGACGCTGCGCCTGAGCCTTTCCCGAGCATGGAGCCCAGTTCGAACAGGAGAAACGACGGTCTTACTTAAGTGGTGTGTGTGTGTGTGCGTGCACCGGCGGAAGCAGGTTTGTTTCCTAGCCGTTGCTTGTTCCAAAGCCGTGGCAGGTTGCGTGTTCCACTGTGTATTGCTTGCATTTCTTAGCCAGTGCTAAGCAAAAAATATTAATTAACTTTAAACAACACAAGCGTGCACACGCGCACACACACACACACAAACCAACCACATTGGAGGCGTTTGTTTGCTTTTTCGTCAGCTGTGGCTGAGGGACGGCCTCCCAGCGAATACCGCGAAAACAAAACACGTTGACCGGTCGAGAAGCATACATTGTACCTAGCTGCTGTACAGGCTTGTCCAAACAGTGTGGAAACACAGCGGACAGAGCAGGCGTTATCTTGTATGCAACAGCCACGAGCGTTGGATTTCGCAATGGGTATCTTCACATTATAGGTCAACCGGCGGCAAGACTATTTCGTAGCGGTAGTAATCGTCCGAGTAGTTAGACCAATAATGCGTACGAAGAACCATTGCAAGAGAAATCATATGCAAAAATCGTCGTAGTCTGGTCATACTCAGAGAGACATTAACGGTAGCTGACAATCAATTCAACCTCCTCAACCAGGGGAATCGACAGGGTCCGATTATCTGTGTGCACTACTGTGTCGAAACGGGTGAGGCTCCTGGGGCCCCAGTACCCGGGCCAGCTTCTCCGTGCACTTGTCCTTCTCTGGTGCCAAGACCAGTTGCTCGCTGCCATTTTTCAAGAATCGGAACTCCAGCACGCCTACAAAAAGCGTGGGAAGGAGCAAGTAAAAGAAGGAGGGACAGGAATGAAAATGCAGAACAATATAGAACAATAAAGGGCACATGAAAAAGGTGAGCAAAAGGTGTGGGCACCGTCTGCGGGAACGAAGACGACCATTGTGAAGTGCCCAGGAGCTCCGGGTGCCAAAGTGTCCTGCTGCCACGAGTTGAAGCTGCCGGTGACTGTGTAAAAGTCCGACAATGATTCCTTGGTTCAGGTGTGGAGAAGCGCAGGTGTGGCGACAAAGGCCCCAAGTAGAGACCATGTTATAGTGGCTATTGGTGATCAATAGCCTTCGTTCATTGTGGACGCTGAGGGGTGACTGGATACTTCAGGTTGCAACCCTGCTGAAATGGTACATGTATGTGATCGCAGTAGCTACTGAGCACTTGCATCGATGCTGTTCAGCTGCCCGTTGCTCGTTGGCATCTCGGACCTCGGCACTCGGCACCATCGAAACCGAACGCTTCCTTCTTAAACACTCGGATTCGGTCGCTGCCTTGACCCACTTGATCGGCTCGTCCATGGGATCCTCAGGCCGGAGAATGATGCCTCAAGGGAGGGCTAAGAGGCGGGCATCGCCTGCGCTCATGTGTACATATATATATATATATATACATATACATATACCTATGGACCTACAGTATGCAGCAGGGTATATGGAGATTTCCCGAGAGTGTTGGAAGTTTGTTTTTGACATTTTCGTGAGACGTCCATTGTTCGCGATTCGCGTAGGGTTTACATGAAGGACTTATGGGGTTGAAATATGCTGGACCAATGCTGGACTACAGTAAGACTCAATCGAACCTCAGAAAATGGAATGGAACAGAATGAAACCTACAAATGGGCCCTTCGCTGGGGGAAGCTTGCCCCCTCGAATGTACATCATGTAAATACATACATACATACGTACATACATACATACTGTAGATAGGCGTGCTAAACGAAATGGGCCGAAAGGCCCTGGCCACACATAAACAAATATGTTCATACTACATACATATATATATATATAGCACAGAATATGTAGACGGCACTTCCCGGACCTGGAATGGCTTCGGACTCTCTTGACACATCATAAGAGGCCGGGTGGCTGTAGACGTCGCCCTGCTTGGGGTTTGCCTCTGGCAAGTCAGCCTCCCAGTCATCTGGGTTGTTGCCCACGGGCCGAATTTCTGCGGGAGACATCTTGGCGATGCGCCTTAGGAGCATTGCCTGAACATCTTGTGGGCCACGGCACTTGCCCCAGAAGATGCAGTGACCGTTTGTGCCTCCGAAGCCTCCACAGGGCTGAGAAGGGCTTAGTGGCTCAAGAGGCTTACAGTCGGACGTCACATTGCAGGGGTTTAGGGAGTTTCAGGGCCGAGTTTAGGGTCCAGGGCCCCACCGAACGAGGAGATCTGCGAGTGGCCGCGTTCAAAAGCGAAGCAAGAGCGCTCAGTTTCGAAGAAGGCATCGAAGACTGTGTGCTCAAGATGGGGGTTCAGCTGCCGAACATGCAGGGATGCCAAGCACTGCCCCTGCTGCACAGTCAGAACCGACTTCACCATCGCGGCCATGGCCGCTCCACCCTCCAGATGCCCAATGTTGCTCTTGTTACTCGACATCATCAATGGCTCGCTACGCGGCACCTTTCGCTGGATCTTCCGGACCGCCCCAATCTCGATCGGATCCCCAAGAGAGGTTCCTGTGCCATGGCACTCCCAGCACGTCGACTCGGGCGGCGTCATGCGGGCTTCCCGGATGGCACGGCCGATGATCTCCTCCTGTGCTGGCCCATTCGGAGCAGTTAAGCTGGCGCTGCGCCCATCTTGGCCTACCTGCGAGGCCCTGTAAATGCATCCTTTCGAGTCGTACTCACCGTACTTCAAGATCATGCCTGAGCTGAGAGAGCTGAGCTCGTGTGTTTGGGGAAAAACACGAGATGGCGTGAGTTCGTTTGAGTTCTGGCATCTTCCGTCTGGCCTGAGGTCCCTTCGCCGCGGAGGTACCCATTCGCAGTGGAATCGAAGGTGAAGCAGCGCCCCTGTGGAGACGTCATGTGCCCCCTCGGTTTGCGCAAAGCACCGCGCCAGCGTCACTAGCCACAGCGGCATCTGCGAACTCTCATGGCGCACGACGGCAACTAGGGCCAGGGCAGCGCGCAGCCCACCCAGGGGCCAGGGGAGAGACAAAGGTGGGTGCCGGTGGCCACGTGAAAGTCCAGAACGTCCCACACGCGGTCGAGCAACAGCCTGCATGCACAGCAGGCTCTACTTCCACACGGCGCAGTTCCTACGGATTCCTACGGCTCGTTTGAGCCTTTTGGCGCAAACCCCATATTCTATGGGCCATGGGGTTATTCATGGACTTTGCATGGCCCTATGCTCCACGCACCATGGAGCTTCTAGGGACCGCCTATCGGGACTCCCATGAGTTTGACAGATCCGATTTCGGGGTTGCACTGTTTCGGGTCTGGGTTTGGGGTATTTGGGCGCAGGGCTTCCAAGTTTCTTTTCAGGGTTTAGGGCTTGGGTTCTCGTCCCCAGCACTCTGCCCTCCAGGCTGCGGTGGCAAAGTCTGCGATGTGTCTAATCGGACAATGTCGATCTTCTTCTTCTTCTTGTAAAACACCGGCTTGATGGACTACAATCCGATCAACTCTCTTTTGCTGTATGCGAGGACGGACCATACTCCCGGGTCCGCATTCGCAGACAATGGAAGCACAGGAACTTATCGTACTGAGTAGGGTGGGTGGGACAAGAAATGTTTGCAAAGCTTTCGCCAAAAAAACGACGCGAATCGCAGCAGTCGAAGGCAACATTCGAGATCCCTCATGTACCTAAGGGCGAGGAGCTACAATTGTCATCTCAATCGCAAGCGATCTGCAGTATAACTACTACTTATGAAACATCAACCATAAACTGTCAACCGTTAACCATTGTCTGATGACGGGTGACTCCGACTATTAACGATCTATGAACTTTGAACTGATGACTGCGACCCAGAAGCTATTCGTGATTAAATGCTATTACTACTGTCTGGCAGCTATTCAGTCGAGACTGCTTGCTAAAAGTATTCACTGCGAAGTATTGACTGCCAACTATGAACCATGAAGCGTTCACTAGAGCTCAGAATGTTAACTGATCGCCTGAACGGCTACTACTAGCGACTCTTAACTCTTCACTGTTAGCTAGAAGCGATTACCATTGAATTTCTATGACTACTATTGATAATACAGCCGGCACTGTTACTTTGGGAGATGACGACTGCGATTCTTGCTACCATTACTAGCACTCTTGATACTGCGCCGGGCCGATAGTTCGACCCACCAACATCTTGGGGTTCTTACACCCATACCCCGCACTCCTGACACAATGGGGCTGGGGGCCTCCTCCGGAGCTACAATAGTACTATATTTTCAAAACGGGTATTAATTTCTCCGCTAGCAGGCGGAGGGAAAACGCTACTTTTCGGCACTCCGCTACTCCGCGGGAGCCTTCACTGT